AGGGCACAGAATTCTCTGAGGTGCAGCCATTGATTCAGGTTTGTGCGGAGTTTGGTTTCATCTGGTACCCCCGAATGCAGGGTATGAATTTTTGCCCCGCCATTTAGTGCCGACCAGGTAGAGTCCTTGGTATGGTTATTAGAGGATGATGTGGATTGCTTCTTGAGAGCGTTATTCTGCATGTTCACCACAGATACTAAGAGATTGTATAAACGCAGTGCAGTCTTTGGTCAGACAGGCTTTGTGTAAGCTCAGCTTTGTTCAACCCGTACTGCAGACATTATTATTAATTATTAGTTTTATACAGTATTTATAAAGCGCCAATAGTTCGCGCTCAGCGCTGTACATTACAAATGGGAGACAGAACATGTGACAGAAACAATACCAATACAATGCAAAACATGAGGGGATCAAGGGGCCCTGCTGCTTTCGGCTTACAATCTAGGAGGGAGGGGGTGGGTGGCACAGGAGGAGATAGCTGTGGGGGATGGAGTGGTAGAGGAAGAGTGGAGGAGGTACGGCAAGTTAGCAGGGGTGGGGTAGGCTTCCTGAAGAGATGGGTTTTTTTCAGGTGTGCCTAAAAGGAGAGGAGAGTAGGTGATATCTGATGGGTTGGGGCAGGGAGTTCCAGAGGATGGGTGACACCCTGGAGAAGTCCTGGAGGCGGGCATGGGAGAGGAGGAGACCAGGGAACTAGAGAGAGAGGAGGTCTTGTGAGGAGCGGAGTTGAGGGGGGGTGCGTGCAGGGGAGGGTGCGGTACTTGGATATTAGGTCAGAGGATGGTAGTACGGTGGCAGTATGGTGGTACAGCTTTGTACGTCAGCATTAGGGAATTTTGAATTTGATCCGTTGCGCGCAATCGGAAGCCAGTGGAGGGATTGGCAGGAGGGGTTGGTGGCAGAGACAGAGCGGTTGGAAAGGTGAATGGTCCTGGCAGCCGTGTTCAGGATGGACTGAAAGGGGGAATCTGCCCAGGGTGGTGAGGCAGGGCCAGTGAGGAGGGAGTTGCAGTAGTCGAGTCGTGATATGATGAGGGAGTGGATGAGCTGATGTTTAGTGGTTTCTGGGGGGTTTGGAAACGTGCGGATTTTGGCGATGTTGCAGAGGTGGAGTCTGCACGAGCTTGGGAGGAAAGATTGGACTTGGGGCTGGAAGGATAGGTTGGAGTCCAGAATGACACCCCAGTACTCTGGCCTGCAGGGCGGGTTTGATGGTAGCGTTGTTGGATGTGACGGAGAAATCAATGGGGGGGTGGTGTCCGGGCTGGGGGAAGACAAGAAACTCGGTTTTGGAGAGGTTCAGTTTAAGGAAGTGGGAGCGACATCCAGTCTGATATGTCCGCTCAGTAGTGTGTGATTCGGGCTTGAGACCAAGGGGGGTGAGGTGGGGGGTTGAGAGATAGATTTGTGTGGTCGTCGGCATAGAGGTGGTAGTTGAAGCCGTGAGAGTGTATGAGTTTTGGCCAAGGGAGGAGGTATAGATGGAGAAGAGTGGGGGCCCGAGGACAGAGCCTTGAGGGACCCCAACAGAGAGGAGGGGGAGTGAGGGGGAGGTGGTAGCATTATAGGGTAACGCTGGGGGGAGCGTTGTGACAGGTAGGGATGAGAGCCAGGAGAGAGCAGAATCTCTGAGGCCGAGGGAGTGTAGGTTTTTGAGGAGGAGGGGGTGGTCGACTGGTGTCGAAGGCTGCAGAGAGGTCAAGGAGTAGGAGCACTGAATAGTGGCCATTAGTTTTGGCGGGTTAGTAGGTCGTTGGAGAGATTTGAGTAAAGCAGTTTTCGGTGGAGTGTAACGGGGACGGAAGCCGGACTCGTGTAGGGGATCGAGGAGGTTGTTGTCCGTTGAGGTGAGAGCATAGGCGGGTGTAGACGAGGCGCTCGAGGAGTTTAGATGTAAATGGGAGCAGGGAGATGGGGTCTGAGGTTGTTCGGGTCATTGGGGTCCAGGGAGGGCTTTTTAAGTATGGGGTGATGTGTGCATGTTTCAGAGGGGAGGGGGAAAGTGCCTGAGGAGAGGGAGAGATTGAAGATGTGGGTGAGGGGGGCGTAGGATGGAGGAGGAGGAAGGTCGTAGGAGTTGTGAGGGGATAGGGTCGAGGGGGCAGGTGGTGAGGCGGGCATCAGAGAGGATCTTGGAGACTTCCTCGATGGTAGTAAGGTCAAAGGTGTGGAGTGTTGGGGGGGAGCTTCAGTATGAGGAATGTAGGGTGGGGTGGAAGAGGAGGTCAGAGCAGTGGTGGGGGCTGTGGGAGAGGGGTGATGAGAGGGGGTAGCTGAGTGAGGGTGAAGGGGGTTGGAGAGAGTTTGAGCAGCGACGGAAGTCCCTGCGGGTTATGTCGAGGGGGAGGGGGATAAGGGGGTAGCTGTGTGAGAGGGGACGGGTTGAGAGGGTATGTGAGTTGCGGCAATGTCCTTGCGGAATTGGGTCAATTTTGTTTTTGAAGTGATTGGCAATCTCAGGGCAGTGAGTGAGGTGGGGTGCTGGGTGGAGGTGGGGGGGGTGGAGGAGTAGAGAGTTGAAGGCAGAGAAGAGTCGGCGGGGGATTGAGGGGGGAGGGCCGAAGGGTGACGGGTCAAGAAGTAGGCCTGTTTGGCAGCATGGAGGGAGGAGGTATAGGGGTGGAAGGCAGATTTGTACGGGGGGATGAAGGCTTGTTGGGATTTGGTTTTGCGCCATAGTCGCTCCAGGGCACGAGGGGTCGGTTTGAGAGTTTTGAATGGGTGATCAGTCCCTGCCAGGGCTGGAGCGGTCGGGGTCTGATGTTGCGTGTGGGGAAAGGCGCTAGTGAGTCGAGGGCTGTTGAGAGCGCATTGTTGTAGGGGGTCAAAGCCAAGTCTGGGGCAGAGGACAGGGGGGAGAGATTATGGTCGGGTGGGAGTTGAATCAGCTGCAAGAGCAAGGGAGGAGGCAGTCAGGGGAGGAAAGTAAGGGTTGCGGGAGGTTACGCGGGGTAGTAGGTGACATTTGGAGGGGTAGGCGTGGAGGACGAGGGGGGAGATAGAGAAGGTGATCAGGTTGTGGTCAGAAGGGGGGAGAGGGAAGGGGGTGATATAGTGAGGATGTTGTGGGGGAGCGCAGCGGTTGGAGAAGAAGACAAGGTCCAGGATATTTCCGTCGGAGGGGGGTGGGGGATTGTATGCACTGAGGCAGTTGCAAAGGATGAGGGTTAGGTGGACGGAGACGGGCTCAAGTTGGGTGTCCGGGTTGTCGAGGTTTTGACAGGGATGTTGAAATCCACACAAGAAGGATGGTGGGTAGCTCAAGGGAGAGGAAGAAGGGTAGCCAGGAGGAGAAGTCATCCAGGAGGAGCGGGGTATGGATCCAGGAGGGCCGTATATCACAGCAATCTGAGGGAGGGGGGTTGGGGAGAATAGTCGGAGGCAGTGGGCCTCTCGAAGGAGGAGAAGGATAGGGAGGGGGGGTTTGGGAGGACTCGGAAGGTGCTCTGGCGGTGACAGGGCAGACCAAACCCACCACCTTTACGACCGTAGGGGATAGATGCTTCGGTGGGTGAGTGGGTCCAGGTGAGACCTCGGTAGGAGAGGTGCAGCCGGGGAGGTAGAAAGGAGGGGTGGGGACAAAACCACAATCCAGGTTTCGTGATCGGTTAGGAAGGTTTGGAGGGGAGCGGGGGAAACAAAGAGGTTGTGGATGGCGTAAAGGAAAGCTTGTTGCACACCGAAGGGCGTTCAGGGAGTGCACATGAAAACGGGGGGGAGATTTTAGGGAGCAGGGGGACAGATACTAAGTTGTGGGGGTTTGCAGTGAGGACGTGGAGGGTGGGGAGGGTGTTGAGCGGGTGTGAGGGAGATGGAGGCCAGGAATTCGTGGGAGAATGGTCCCCCGGGGCTAGGAGGAGGGAGAAGGATGAGAAAGGGTGAGGAAATGGGAGCGGGAATGTGCAGGAGCGTGAGAAACTCCTAGTGGAGGTTGTTGGGGTCAGTGGAGATTGCGGAGCAGTAATAGGAGGAGGTGGTGGGTGCCATAGAGGGGTTGAGGAAGCAGTGAAGGACACGGGATATACAAATGTTTGGGGGAAGGGGCAAAGGGATATATGTGAATGGGATTTTGGGAACGGAGGAGAGAGGAAAATGAGAAGGAGGAGTGGATGAAGAGACTTTTGGGGAGGTGAAGAGAGCAGTAGTAGGGAGATGATAGCAGTGCGGGGGAGATGTACAGGTTGAACAGGATTGTGAGGTGGAGGCAGAGCGGAAAAGAAATGAGAGTTTTTGGGAACAGAGGGGTAGTTAATATGATAAGTAGAGAAGAGGGGTGTATTATATAAAGGTACACAGAGTGGGACTACTCAGGCATGTAAGAGGTTTCCCCAAGTGTTTGCTTGCAGTCTTCCCAGCATGCAGTAGAGCTTCTTGCTGTTGTTGTGTCTTCCTGCTGCTTGAGTTCTGCCTGCTTTAGGTCAACTGCTGGCGTTTAACTGCTTCTTCTATGCACTCGTTCAAAGCCGCACTCAATCATGAAGCAACACCCCATCAGAGACTGTGCCCCCCATCAGAGAATCTCCCCCATGAGCTGATCATAAATTTATAGGGAGATGCTCAAATGAGCATCTCAAACTCCACCCCAATTAGAAGCTGATAAAGATCACCATGAGGAGTGGGGGATGATTCTCTCAGGAAACAGACACCAGTCGTAAAACGGGTGCAGCTGAAGGTGAGAGCTGGACAACATAATACAAAAATATAAATAACACCATTTGTTCTGAATATAGCAGGAGTCAATGCGTTTTTGTGGAGTTAAGAGTGGACGGTGTAGGAGAAAGGTGCATTTACCCAGGAGGAAGGCAGCAGGAGTCCAATGCGTTTTGGAGTTAAGAGGTGGAGGTAGGAGAAAGTGGTGCATTTACCCAGGAGGAAGGCAGCAGGAGTCAATGAACAGATTTGTTGCACCCAGCCTCAGTCAGCTTACAAAAACCCAGTTCTGCTTCTAATCTATTTCCTCAAAGCTCTATTCCTGCATCCCAACAGCTCCTCCTGCCCTGCTATCTACCGCATGTCAGTACCCTGTTCCCACTCGCTGCACCCTATCCTGCCTTTAACCCTGTAAAAAAGCCCTCTGTAGCAACTGTTCCTCTCCCTGTTCCATCCTCCAGCTCTTCTCTGTCTCCAGCTGCTCCATTAGTTTGCAGACCTGCGTTTACTTGCAGTGCTCCAGTAGTTTTAAAACCAGAAAAAAGCGAAAATTCTTTCCAACCAGTACCATCCTGTCAGTATCCAAACCGGTGAGCCTGCCGTCTGAGAACCTGCCTTCCGTGGTTCAGCCTGGTGCCTCGGCACCTGCACTTCAGCCTGAGGTCTGTACCCAGCCTGATGCCTGTACCCAGCCTGATGCCTGTCTTCAGCCTGATGCCTCTACTCAGCCTGATGCCTCTACTCAGCCTGATGCCTCCACTCAGCCTGATGCCCTTCCACTCAGCCTGATGCCTCTACCCAGCATGATGAACTGATCCATCCAGATGATACCGGTACCTGATCCGGTGCCCGCTGTCGTGCCAATTGACTCAGAGCCCGCTGTCGTACCTGGTGACTCGGTGCCCCACTGCCTTGCCAGATGACGCGGTGCCCGCTGGCGAGCCAGTAATGACCTGATGCCTGGTGACCCAGTGCCCGCTGTCATACCTGTGACCCGATGCCCGCTGTCGAGCCAGACGATCCAATGCCTGGTGACCCGGTGCCCACTGCCTTGCCAGATGACGCGGTGCCCGCTGGCAAGCCAAATGACCTGATGCCTGGTAGACCCAGTGCCCGCTGTCATACCTGATGACCCGATGCCCGCTGTCGAGCCAGACAATCCGGTACCTGATGACCCCGGTGCCCGCTGTCGTGCCTGGTGGCTTGGTGCCCACTGTCTTGCCAGATGACAGCTGCAGGTGCCCGCTGTTGAGCCAAATGACCTGATGCCTGGTGACCGATGCCCGCTGTCCAGCCAGACGATCCAATGTCTGACCCAGTGCCCGCGGTCATACCAGTTGACTCGGAGCCCACTGCCTTGCCAGATGACGCGGTGCCCGCTGTCGAGCCAAATGACCTGATGCCTGGTGACCCGCAATGCCCGCTGTCCAGCCAGACGATCCAATGTCTGACCCAGTGCCAGAGGTCATGCCAGTTTGACTCGGAGCCCACTGTCGTGCCTGGTGACTCGGTGCCCGCCGCTCCTCCTGGGGGCTGAGACCTGTCGCTCCGCCTGGGGGCCTGAGACCTGTCGCTCCGCCTGGGGCCTGAGACTTGTCGCTCCGCCTGGGGGCCTGAGACCTGTCGCTCCGCCTGGGGGCCTGAGAACCTGTCGCTCCGCCTGGGGGCCGGAGACCTGTCGCTCCGCCTGGGGGTCCGGCCCGCCCGCCGCTCCGCCTGGGGGCCCGAGACCTGTCGCTCCGCCCTGGGGGTCCGGCGCCCGCCGCTCTGCCTGGGGGTCCGGCGCCCGCCGCTCCGCCTGGGGGCCTGAGACCTGTCGCTCCGCCTGGGAGCCTGAGACCTGTCGCTCCGCCTGGGGGCCTGAGACCTGTCGCTCCGCCTGGGGGCCTGAGACTGTCGCTGCCCGCCTGGGGGCCTGAGACCTGTCGCTCCGCCTGGGGGCCCGAGACCTGTCGCGCTCCGCCTGGGGGTCCGGCGCCCGCCGCTCCGCCTGGGGGCCCGAGACCTGTCGCTCGCTCCGCCTGGGTCCGGCGCCCGCCGCTCCGCCTGGGGGCCCGAGACCTGTCGCCCCGCCCGTGGGCCCGGTGCCTGTCGCCCCGCCCCGGTGGCCCGGTGCCTGCTGCTGCCTATCCGCCCGGTGGCCCTGTGCCTGCGGCTCCGCCCGGTGGCCCGGTGCCTGCTGCTCCGCCCGGTGGCCACGGTGCCTGCTGCTCCGCCCGGTGGCCCGGTGCCTGCTGCTCCGCCCGGTGGCCCGGTGCCTGCTGCTCCGCCCGGTGCCTGCTGCGGCTCCGCGCCCGGGGCCCGATGCCTGTCGCCCCCACCTGGGGGCCCGATGCCCGTCGCCCCGCCTGGGGGGGCCCGGTGCCTGTCGCCCCGCCCCGGGGGCCCGGTGCCTGCTGGCTCCGCCCCGGTGGCCCGGTGCCTGCTGCTTCCTCCCCGGTGGCCCGGTGCCTGCTGCTTGCCGCCCGTGGCCCGGTGCCTGCTGCTCCGCCCGGTGGCCCGGTGCCTGCTGCTTGCTCCACCTGGTGGCCCGCTGCTGCTGCTTTGCCTGGTAATCCGATGTGCCTCTGCCCGTAGAGTCCAGCCCGATGTGCCTCTGCCCGGAGTCCAGCCCAATGTGCCTCTGCCCAGAGTCCAGCCCGATGTGCCTCTGCCCAGAGTCGATCCCGATGTGCCTCTGCCCGATGTTGCCTCTGCCCGGGGTGTGCCTCTGCCCGGTGTGCCTCTGCCAGTGTGCCCCTGCCCCGGTGTGCCGCTGCCCGGAGTCCTGCCCGGTTGTGCCAGTTCTTTGATATCCCGCCAGTTACCAGGACCCGGGCGGTGGAACATTTTGCCCAGCTAGGACTGTTTTGGAGCATCCTGAGGCCGCTCCTTGAGGGGGGGGTACTGTCAGGAATGGACTGGCCAGCAATGGTGGGACTCACCTGCCTTATGAGCTGCAGTACCAGGGCTGGCCAGCGGGTGCTCCCAGCAATCAGAGACTCAAACCTTGCAGCCAGTCAAACACCTGGAAACTGATTATACTGGTGTATTTAAGGGATGACCAGACCTGCAGACTCTGCCTTGGTGTGTGTTTCTCCTGGGCCCTGTATCCTGTTCCTGCTCCCTGTTCCTGTTCCTGTCTGATTCGTTGCTGACCCCTGCTCTGATCCCTGGCTTTGTCTGACCATTTCTCCTGCTTCAGATCCCTGGCTTTGTCTGACCATTCTCCTCTGCCTGACGCTCTGTACCATGCTGCCCGCTACCTGCTGAACCTGGCTTGTGACCCCGACCATTCTCCGCTTGCTCCCCCTGTACCTACCTGCCCGATTGATATTGACCCGGCCTGCTTGACGACGCTTGCATTGTATGTACTGTCATCTGTGGGGTGGTTGGTTTGGTTTGTTTGCACTGTGTTATGTTTTAGTATTGCACTGCCGTTTATGTTTGTATTGTTTAGTGTTAATAAATTATATTGTTTATAACATATCTGAAGTCTGCGTTTTCCCTGCGTCAGTCACACACCTCTGGTCATACCCCCGGGAGCCTGACAAAATCTCTTTTCCTCCAGACATAAAAGAGCCCCCTTGTCCTCTGTGGTGACCTCAGGTGTGAATAACTCTACACCGAGTTCACTATATGAACCACTGATGTATATATATTATGTTGATCATATCCCCCCTTTAATAAATCCAGTTCCTCTAATCTCTCCTCATAGCTGATCTCCTCCATGCCTCGTATCAGTTTGGTTGCCCTTCTCTGCACTTTCTCCAGTTCCCCAATGTTCTTTTTGTGAATTGGTGCCCAAAACTGAACTGCATATTCCAGATGAGGTATTACTAATGATTTGTACAGGGGTAAAATGATCTCTCTCTCTGGAGTCTATACCTCTTTTAATATAAGCAAGGATTTTGCTCGCTTTAGAAACCGCAGCTTGGCATTGCATGCAATTATTCAGCTTATGATCTACCAGAACCTTTTCCACCATTGATTCCCCCAGTTGCACTCCCTCTAGTATGTATGATGCATGCATATTCTTAGCCCCCAAGTGTATAACCTTACATTTATCAACATTAAACCTCATTTGCCACATAGTTGTCCAATTAAACAGTGCATTGAGGTCGGCTTGTAAGTTGGAGACATCCTGTAAGGACGTTATTCCACTGCACAGCTTGGTGTCATCTGCAAAGACTGAAATGATATTTTTAATCCCAGACCCTGTATAGTTTATAAACAGGGGCGGACTGACAACTCATGGGGGCCCCCGGGAAATAGGGGATCATGGGGCCCGTCTCCTTGCCCAAACTCAAAAAAGCCTATGAAAAAGGTACCAGGGGCATCTCATGGGGCCCCCACTGACCCGGGCCCTCGGGCAGTGCCCGAGTTTCCAAATGGTCAGTCCGCCCCTGTTTATAAATATATTAAAAAGTATGAATCATTAACAACTACTATCAGAATTTTTTATATTTTTTATCCATTACATACTGTGTGTGGAGAACTGTGTCAAACATTTTTGCAAAATCCAAGTATACCACGTCCACCTGCCACCCCTCTGTCCAAGGTTTTGCTCACCTCCTCATAAAAAGAAATCAGATTTGTTTGACAATGTCTGTCAATATTTTTTCCAGCAAGAACTCATCTATGTGGTCTTTTATTAATCTCTCCAGTATGTTCCCAACTATGGATGTTAAACTAACAGGTCTATAATTACTTGGTAAAGATTTTGATCCCTTTTTAAATATAGGCACCACATTGGCCTTACGCCAATCCAGTGGTACTATGCCAGTCTATGTGCTTCAACTACTGAAGCAATATTGTTGGAGAGCTCAGGTCTGCATCCAAAAAGCACCATTTTTGGAGTGGCGGTTTCATACAGTTTGCCTTTGTTTAGCAGAATGATTCAAATTTAAAAAATGAGTAGAAAATTCAAATTAAGCCGAGGGCATAGAATTAGTTGCAATTGCTATTCTATGAGATAGAAAATCTTCAGTTTCTGATCCACTTTCAAACCAATGTAAATTAGAAGATGGTCCAGTTTGTAACATTTTCATTACAAAGTCTTTCAGCCATCTACAAAGTACCCTCATCTAAAGTACAGTTTCTCAACTTCTATTGTTTTGTATTTTGTGATGTGCAAATGTAAGTCAGCTTAGATTAGCTATGGATTCAGGACATATGTGAAGGCAATGGCCACTGCAAAGGAGAAGAGGACTAGGAAGAGAATGACACCACTCCTCGAACTTCCACTTACGGAAAGTGGGTGCAGTCAATGTATGGTTGGGACTGTGGTAGTCCATGGATGTCAATGCTATAAATGATGTATTCCTGATCACCCATGTGCAAGTATAAGTCAGCTTAGATAAGCTATGGATTCAGGACATCCATGAAGGCAATGGTACTGCAAAGAACAGGAGGACTAGGAAGAAAAATTACACCACTCTTGTAACTGCCACTTATGGCAAGTGGGTAAGGTTGGGCCCCAGGTAGCCCATGGATGTCAATGCTATAAATTATGTGTTCCTGATTACCCATAGAATTACTCATAATACCTAAACACTTTTCAGGTAAAAAAACCGATATGCTGGTTACTGGGAAGAGTACCTTTCTAAATTCACTGAAATATAGCCCCACCCTTTCTTCAACTTTATTTTCCTCTTGTGAAGGTCATATTTTAACAATGGATTTCAAATGACAAAGAATAGACCACTTTTATATTAGAGCTCCACATGTGGTCAGGTTTAGACTAAATGGTGCCCTGTGTCCCAACTTCCCCCCTACCGCAGCCTTCTATAATTCCCATTACATTTTATACATTCATTCTGCCACAAAGTGCAAGGATCAAGGATGGTACAACAGCTTTTACAGCTTTTATTAAGCACAAAATGGTAAACATTACATGATACATATTGTACTGATTGATAGGTACACTTTAACCACTTTCGGGCTGCCCGCCAGCAACGTACTGCAGACGGGCGGTAGCTGGACTTTTGCCAACACAGGGGGGCACTGTGCACCCAAGTGGGCATGCAACCTACCTCCCCTCATCCACTGGACACAGCAGAATGAGAATCCTGAATGAGAAGCAAGCTTTGCATTGCAGAAAAATGATCTTCTTTGCTCATGCAATGCAAAGTGTAATAAAAAAAAATCCCTGATCATCCCCCCAGAGTAGTACAATGTTACTATGGTAACGTTGTACTACTCTGATGAAAAAAAAAAAATTTAAATTTTTTTTAAATGTTTTAAAAAATGATTGAGAGAAATTGTGTTTTTTTTAACTACTTGCAGCCCTCCCTCCCGTCAACAATGTGTAATCTTACGTCGCTTTCTATTTCCGGGTGTGTGTGTGCATGCATGTGCCCCCTCTGCCCCCTATGCTGTCCAGGGAGGGAAGAACTAACACGTCACTGACTATAAGCACTAAATTTGACACGCATATTAGCTTAGCTCATTTAACTCTTTGATTGCTCCTATTAACCCTTTGATCACCCCATCACGCAGCCAGTGCCATTAGTACAGTGTCAGTATATAGAATTTTTCACTGATCACTGTATTACTGCCACTAACGACATCAGATAATGTCAGGGTCAGTTAGCTCCCCTCCCAGCCAGGACCACCTAGAGTTATATTGCCCGCACACAATTGCACTCATGCTATAGATCGCTGATCATCCCCATTACTAGTATAGTGTTTGTACAGATCAATATATTAGTCACGAACAGAACTATACTAGTGCCTCCTTTGTATAGTGTCCCCAAAAACGCAGTGTTAGCAGGATTTGCCCTGTACGCTGCCAGCACTAGCATTTAGCCCCTCCGTTGTTTTTCACAGAAGATTTGTATCTATTGATTTGTGGGCCAAAACAATTTATACGCACAACAATACACCGCTGACCACTCAAATTCAGCTCTTGCCAGACAATGGAAACCTATCACGGTTTCTGAATCTAAAACCTTTTTGGGCCTAACCCTCAACATGAGCATTACAAAAAAGAATGAATTGCAGTCATATTGGTCTACAGACCTGATTCATCATATGCCCATGTTCTCTGCTGTTACATATATGCCCAACATGGACCAGCAATGTACTGGTACGTCGCTGGACTTTGAGTGTTATACTGGGATGATGCTTGCAGCTACAGGCATCATCAAGGTATCGCTTTTTTTCAGCTTACAGTTGGCTTTCATGCAAAAACAATCCTAGCTACTAATTAGCCACTGGATCACTTTTACAAGCAGCAGGAAGGGACTCCCCCACCCCTCCCACCACCTGCCAGGGAAACCCAAAAATGCAGCTGGCAGTTCGCTGACTGACAATAGAGCTGATCGGAGATTGGAATGCCTCCAATCATCTCTATGGTATTATAGACTGAAAGCTATGAGCATTTCATAATTTCTGTTTTGCCAGATATAAATAGCACCATTTTA